TTTTGGTCTCTAAGGATAGTTTCCTCTTCATAAAAACTGCACGGTGGCATTTTAAATGGAATTCTCTGATCAATAATATGAGCTGCTGTGTGGTACAGCCTGACCAACACGTTGGTTTTGCTGACTGAGCTTCTAGTATTTCATGAGTCTGTTACTTAGCACTGATTAGCAGGTGTGTGTCTGTGTGCATGATTCCTGGCTCATATCTTGTGTGTGTTGTGGAGTGAATGTTCTTGTTGTTCCTTCAAACTCTTCACTCAACACGGTGATTCTGTGATTATCTCAACAAAGCAGACAGGCAGCAGCATCTGCTGCAGACTGATGCAGGTGCAGCCACACTATGTTAGACAGTGGCCGTCTGTCATTGTGCGACTAGTTAGTTCACTTGGTGCATTAAGCAGGTAGCTAACAAGCTAATGTTAGCTCCATTCATCTGCTGGGATATATCAATTAATCTTTTTTTATTACATCAAATCACAACAACAGTTGCCTCGAGGTTCTTTATATTATCAGGTAAAGACTCCACAATAACAAAAACAACAACACAGAGAAAACTTCCAGCAGCTGCTGATGTTTGGATTTTAAGGTGGTTTGATTCTATGTTTTAAATCAGTTGATGATCTTCAGCTGACCTTTAGCTCCTGGTGGAGCTGTGACAGACTTAATGCTGGATCAGCAGAAACATCACAAATCTATGATGTGAGAACAGAGACGCCTGCAAAAGGACGTCTGAAAGCAGGAAGTTCCTGGAAGCTGCAGGAAGAAACATTTATTAATTATAAATAAGCAGAAAGAGGAAGTGTTGAAGCCTCAGAGCAGCTTTGACTGAATGTAAAAAGACATATTTTCAGTGAGAACAGGCACATGTCACATGAGTCAGAATCTATTCTTTCAAAGCATGTAGATAACATCTCTGACTACAGGTGTAGAAATGCTGTTTGACTCTTCACCTTCTTCCTCCACACTGAAGCACAATTATTCTGAATCTTGTCAGTGGTTTTTGTTCACAGTTGATACGTATTTAGCTCATCAGATTTCCTGTAGTTCTAACACCTCCACCCACAGGACATGTTAAAGAACAATGGCTGCAAGTTTCTGACTCTTATTGATATTTGACAAAGCAGAGGAAGAAGATTATTTCTGTTCAACGTTTCACTCATTTTATTTTATTTTATTTTGCTTTCACTGAAATATTTCAGATGCTTTGAACAAGAGTGAAAACAACAAACTTCACTTCAAACACAATAAACTGAACCACAGTTACAACGAGCTACAGACTGAACATCAAGGTAAGAAAGTATTTAAAATTAACAAGAAAATACTAATGTCAGATAAAATTTATATTTACATTTTTTAACATGTTTTTTTCTACAGAAACAAAACGACTCAACAGTCAGTTACAGGAAGAAGTGAAGGAGCTGAAGGAGAAGATAGAAGGTAATAAAGTTTGAATAACTGATAGAAAACATCAGTGTTACACAGTGATAACCTGATTGTGTCTTTGTTTTGAATCCTAAATGTTTGATGCTGTGTAACAGTTTCTCTGTATAAATGTAAGTTTCAGTTCATTATGAATAAGAGAGAAAACCTGAGTTTAAATGAAGCATTTACAGGGAAAATGACAGGAACCAAAGATTAATGTGATACAACAGGACACAAAGTCTGACTTTAAAACATGTGTTTGACTTTAAGGGAAGTGTCCTGAAGGATGGAGGAGGTTTGGATGCAGCTGTTACTTTAAATCCACTGAGAACAAAACTTGGTCTGAGAGCAGGAGAGCCTGTCAGGATAAAGGAGCTGATCTGGTGATGATAACCAGCAAAGAGGAACAGGTGGGTGTGTTTGTTCATGTCTGTGTGATCTTTGATGGAGCTGACAGTGAGTTACAAAGTTCTTCATACTGTGAATTAAAGCCACACATTGATGATAAGTATACATGTGCAAACATACAGACACATAAACAAAGCAGCACATTCATTCCATCAGAAACACAACAGTTAGAAACTATGGAGGAAAATAAAGGGGAAAAGATTGAGGGAGAGCTAACCTGTAAAAATGAGTTTCAGCCGTTAACAGTCAGCTGACCTGATAGTCTGAGGAAGGCTGTTCCACAGTTTGGCTGCAACAAGCTCAAAAGCACGATGGCCTCTGGTGTTCAAATCAGAGCGAGGGACAGTTGGGAGACGCTGATTAGATGATCAGAGAGGCCGGCTGCAGTGATAAGGTCCAAGAAGCTCTGCTATATAAGCAGGGGCCTGTTCATGCACAGCTTTATATGTTCATAACAGGATTTAAAAGAGGATTCTGAATTTCACTGTAAGCCAGTGAAGAGAAGCAAGAATAGGTGAGATATGAGACTGCAGGCCAGGTTTTGTTTGCAGCCTTGCTGCTGAGTTCTGCACTAACTGCAGACCAACTATGGAGGACTGAGAAATGCAGGTGAAAAGTGAATTACAATAATCAGGCAGGAGAAAGTATGAACTCAAAGTTCCAGATGATTGAATCACAGTAAAGATTTGATCTTTGCAATATTTCTGAGCTAAAGGAAACAAGACTGGCTGACCTTTGACATGTGAGGCTCAAAATGCAGCTGTTGGTTCAAAATGATCTTTAACAGGTGATTGGATGTTACTGGTGAGGGGGACGATGTACTGACTGACCTCCTCAGAGGAACTGAGCCAAACAGCACAACTTCAGTTTGAGATGAAGGAAGTTTAAATCCATGAAGTGATGACAGAGAAGCATTCACTGAGGCAGGAGAGGCTCGACAGAAAAGCATTAGTGTGTGTGTCATCTGCACAGCAGTGCTAGGAGATCCCATTAAAACCATTAAGCAGATGTCACAGGGGCAGCATTTATAAAGAGAACAGAACTGGTCCAAGGACTGAGGCATGTGGGACTCAGATGAGGACACACATTGATTAATATGAAGTATCTGTTTGATAAGTATGAAGAAAACCATGTGAGAGCAGCACCAGTGATGCCAGTTTGTAGTGCGTTAATAAGAAGAGCACCATCAACAGTATGAAGGCTGCAGAGAAGTCAAGCAGGACTCAAATGGAGTCTTTATCCCAGCGCAGAAGAATCTGGTTAGTAACTTTCATGAAAGCTGTTTCAGTGCTGTGGTTTGTCTGGAACCAGGTTGGAATTGATCAAAGATCTGAAGGAGCTGACGAGCAACTTGATTTAAAACAGTGGGATGTAAGGAGGGTTGATCCCACTCACAAAGACTCTGGCTGTTTGAAAGTCAGCTGAAATGAAAGGGACTGGTTTCTAATAGAGAGAAGTCAGGGGGAGATGGCAGCAGGAAGGAGTTTGAACTCCAACAACAGAACTGGAGGAGAGACTTGGGGCGGTTGAAGAGGTACAGACTTGAACTCTGACCTGATACTGTTGATGTTGCCAGTGAAGAAATCGAAAAATGTCCACAGTCATTAGAAGACATGGGAGTGACAGCAGTTTGTCTCTGGGAAGACAACACTGACTGTAAGCCTGTCAAAGATGATACATCTGTGGTTGGATAGTAGGTCAGACATGTGGAAGGTCAGCGTTATGTGTGGGGCCGACAACATGATGCACTACATGAAATGATGCTGCAGTGTTCATCAATTGTGTGGCAGTGTTGTTAGAGGGATCATCAATAAGTAAATTAGACTCATCTACTAAAATGACTTTATGAACAATAACCGATGAGAGAAGATTAGAGAATCCATTCAGGAAATGATTGCAGGATTTGGGAGGTGGATCGATTACAATACAGCAAACTGGAGATTCACATTGAATTATGAAGGAGAGGAATTCAAAGCAGTTAAAGAACCAGGATTAAATGGGAACCAGTTCAGATGATCCTTAGAAACCAAGTCAACACAAAACATTGAAATAACAGAAATGTTATAAAATGAGAGAAATCCTCATAATCCAGATTATTTTTCTGATTCAATCCAACTGAATCAAATGATTTGTTAACACTGATTCCACTGCAACACTGACTGAGCTACAGGAGGAGCTGATATTCATCGATTCTTTGGCTCTTTCTGATTTCTGCACAATGGAAGAAAAGTTTCATCACAGTTATTCTTCCTTCAGACATGTTCACAAGATGATGTCACTACAACAGAAGTGCTGAATTATGACTGGAGACAATATTTGTGTCTCTTCTCAAACAGGAATTTGTCAGTAAATTTGGAGGACACTCTTGGATTGGTCTGGAAGCCAAACAGACATCAGGAGGATATGAATGGGAATGGGTGGACGGATCAGCGCTGACAGAAACGTGAGACATTAGTTTGTTTCTATTCCAGAGTTATTATTTAGAAGTGAAACATGGATGTTTTGGAAGATAGATCAGCAATACATGAGCTGAGCTATTTTCCAACAGCCCCACAAACTGAATGTAAAGAAAAGCAGAAATCCTCCTTTGAATGAACAGCTGTGCTTGAACTCTCTTCATCTGCAGTCTGTGATGACGTTCAGTTACAACAAGTCAGTTTGAAGGAATCAGGATTGAAACATGTTCAAAGCAGCGACCGACACATTTCACTTTGTTCAATTTGTCTTCATGTTTTTGTGCTGTAATGTTTCTTTTCTCACAGAACAAAAAGTGTTTCAGAGAATTCCTGTCTCTTCTTCTTTGGTGTTTGTAAAACTTCAGAACATATGAAGGAAGAAGCTTCAGTAAATATGACCTGATAGACACACATTTCAAAGTGATGTCTGTAAACAGCTGACAAACAGTTTCAAACAGCAGAAAGTCAGCTCTGACTTCTTTTTATTCTCCATTTTTACAGCAGGAAGATTTCATATTCATCAAAGCTTGAAAGCTGTTTTAGTGTGCATGATGATTCTCAGAGAAAAGTCTAAAGGAGGGAAAGTGGGCGAGAAACCTGGGAAAGAAATACAGCAAATATTGGAAATATTCCAAAAGAGACGCATATTTATATGAATGTGACAATAGTTATGAGTTTAGTCCAGTTTCATATCAGATTTGATCTCTCTGACAGGTTCTGGGGAACAGGATGGTCAGATCCTTATTCTGGATACCGTGGAGTCTGCTGTGACGATGATGGGAAATGGAGACGGTCATATTATTCTCATTCAATGACCTTCATCTGTGAGAGATGAGTTTGGTGCTTTGATGTAAATGTTTGAATAATCCAACCAAAGACACCTCACTATGAAATGTCCTGCATGAGCCTCAGACTCAGCTTACAGTCTTTACTTGTTCATTCTGCATCATATATTGATTACATATATTGTCCCTCTGTGCTCTGTGCTGTACAGTAAGGTTGGAAGTCATCCACACAAAACCTTGAAGTACTTCATTACTCTGTAGTTCCAGCAAATTGTTCTAATAAAAGTCAAAGTGCAGCTTGTCTTTACTTTGCTTTACTCGGTTTATTCATCAGCCTGTTGGTCCTAAAACTACAGTTCTGGGTGTTTTTCAGGTTTTTCAACTTCAAATATTTTCATGATTTTTTACCCATTAAATTTTAGTTTAATGCTTTTTCATTATTTTTACAATATTCATTATATTTCCCAATATAATAAATATTGGAAGATAAGAGTCTAATCACCACCAGTGACCTCTGTCAAAGATTAATTCAAAGTTCAGCAACAAGATTGATTTGTTTGCATAAATATTTTGATGTCGTGTCAGATTTGAAATGTTTCACTCTTTAGACAAAATGCACATGAACAAAATCTGTAATCGTCTGCAACGTCCCAAACGTGTCAGCTCTAAACTGAAGATGTTTTGTGCATTTTAACATCATTGTGTAACGTGTTGCTACATCTCTGGTCACAGGCTGCCGTGTAGGTCACAGCACGGGGTACAGGTCAGTGTAGATTTAACATAAACATATAAACGAAGGATGAGTGTGAACAAGTGTGACCTCCATGAAGAGAAAAACAAGACTCACCTCAATAATGAACGTGACGTCAGGATCCCACCTTGAGCTTTGTGTTAACAGGACTGTGGGCCCTCTGCCAGTAGGAGGCGCTACAAACTGACTGGTGCTTTGTTGTTGGAGCAGTCAGAGGTGGGGACGGGTGGACAGGCTGATCATTGGTCCCAGAATTGGTGTTATGGACATTTATGGGTCGTAAATGAACATTTGTCAGATCACATCTGCATATGTTCCTGGTCACCACAAGTTTTTCTTTCATTTAATGTAAATTGTCCCTTAAATATATTAAATATCGTCTGCTGTGTAACAAACATAATGTGTGTAATTTTAAACTTCAACTCACCTGAAAGTTTCCAGTCAGCCTCCTGCTGTTGCAGCTCCAACAGGCTTCCTGCTCACTTCAAGTTTAATCAGACTTCAGTCCAGCAACACATTTACAACCAACACACACACAGGCAGCACTGATGGTTGTACTTCAGTTTTATTGTTCTAATAAAAGTCAAAGTGCAGCTTGTCTTTACTTTGCTTTACTTGGTTCATTCATCAGCCTGTTGGTCCTAAAACTACAGTAAATGTCTTGTTTCTAAAAGTTCAGCAAAAAATATGTTTGATTAATAAGAATTTTAAAGGTTCTGATCAGCTGGAACATCAGAAGGACATTTTTAAACCTCTGTGTATGTGAAAGTGACAGAAAGACATTAAATGTTAATTGTGTTATGTGAGTCATGTATATTTAGTTTTGCATTTTATATGGAAGTTGTATTTAATTTTTGTATGATGGATTTGAAAAACAAATATTTCATATAAGGCTTTAAGTGTTGATGACTTTAATTACAGATAAAATAACTTACTCAGTAACTTATTGGTTGAATTGTAAAAGAGAGAAAACGGCTTCAGAGCTCTAAGTGTCGCTATATTAAAGGCTCAACATTTAACTTGGAGACACTTTGAAATATTTCAAAACTAAAAAACATCAACAGAATATGAAGAAAACATCTCTGACGTCATGTTCAACACATCTACATATGAACTGAAGTTAGCATCCAGCTGATGTCAGCCTGTACTCTCATGTAATACCACTTTGTACCACAAGAGGCTGCAGTGAGTCAGCATAGTCTGCACTGAGCTCACATTTGTATAGTTGTTGTTGCACTACAGCATTAGGTCAGACCACAAGTGTGTTGTTCTTTTACAATAAACAGCAACAATCAGAAAGTGTGTTTGGATTGACAACAACTGTGATGACACATTATAACCTGTTATTAAAGTTCTGCCCCTGCTTTGATCAAATGTGGGTTACTGCTTGTTAGTTAGTGTGACTTCATACAAACCTGTGTGTTACACCAGTGGAAGAAGCTTTCCCTTCATCAGTCTTCTTGTTTCTTACTATAGGGCTGAACAGCTACACTAACACTCTCTGGCTCTATGCTGCCCCCCTGTGGTCACAGTTGTAGTCAGTGTTGGTATGAAATGTTTGAAAGCTTCAGCACCACAGACAGCTGCAGGCAGCTCCACCCTCTCTGTACCATGTCTGGAACCTGTAACTTCAGTGTGTTCATTTAAATGATGAAATAAACTCTGGCTGCACATCGTTCTGCTTTTCTTTAAAAACAAAAACGGTTAAATAGTGTAAAATATGTAAATGTACAAAAGTTAGTGGTCCCAGAATAACTACAACTTTAAATAATTATAATCATAGCAAAGTTTGGCCTGATGGTGGCAGTAATGGAAACATTAGAGTACCACCATCATCACTTTCATTTTACCACATTTTATTTGAAGAACACTCAAGGACACTGTACACAGCAGAATAATAAAAGCAACAGAAAAGCAGGCAGTTTACACAATCATAAAGTCATAAGGCATAAAACTAATTTAACATAGCAGAGTGGAGAGGTTATGTGGGATAAGCTATTTTGAACCAGTGAGTTTTTGTCTAGACTTAAAGAGAGAGAAGGAAGAGATATTTCTTAAATCAGGAGGTTGTGAACTCCAGAGTCGAGGAGCAGAGCAGCTGAAAGCCACGGTGGCAAGACAGGGGGCGGGGCTAGAGAGAGAGAAGAAGGAGATCTAAGACACCGAGACGGGATCATCATCAGAGACAGATGATGAACAGCCTTAAATGTGTACAAAAGTATTTTGACAATGATGTGATATCTAACTGGGAGTGATGAGATCTGTAGAAGGGGTCCTGGTGATGATACGAGCAGCAGAGTTCTGGACACATTAAAGCTCATTAATGGATTTTTGAGTAAGACCAAAAAGAAATGAATCACAGTAATCGATCCGAGCAGTAACAACACTGTGAACAAGAATGTCAGTGGCATGTGGAGTGAGGAAAGGAAAGAGACGATTAATGTTGCACAATTGAAAATATGCAGACTGAGTAACATCATTAATGTGTGAACTGAACGATAGAGTACTGTCGAGGATGATACCCAAACTTTTCACAGAGGAAGAAACGGAGACCGGCGAGTTATTGATCGTTATAGAGAAACTGTTGGTTCTGGATAATGTTGATTTAGAGTCGACCAAGAGAAGCTCAGATTTGACGGTAACAGCAGTCGGTAAGAAGATTTTTACCCAGAACTAAAATGAAAACCAGAGAGCAGAAACGTAAAAGAACAAAAACAATGGTGGGGTTGTCCCGGAAGCAGAGAGGAGAAGAGGCTCAGAACATGTGGACAGTATGAAAACGGAGGAGATGAAAGAACGTCTCTGGAGGTCGGACGTGTTGCTAACAGTGGAGGGGCTGCTTTGAAGATTGGCTGCAAAGGCAGAGTCTCTCTGGAGACTTGGAGGCAGACAGGAGCCCTGCTGGGGCTTGGCTGGATAACTCAGAGGACTCAGGATACTCGGAAGTTACACCTCCTCCAGCTTATCCAAGGGAACATCAAGGCGTTCCCAGGCCAGCCAAGAGATCTAATTTCTCCAGCTTGTTCTGGGTCTACCCAGTGATTCTATCATAGAAGCATGAACAGGTGGAGACGGAGGCTGCAGCCTGACTGCTCATCAGTTACCTGCTGAAGTTCAGGGTCTGGCTGCTGCGCTAGTTATGGTGTTCTTGATTACAAAAGCATCACAAGTAAACCAGGAAACACTAACTGGAACACACAGCTGGAGGGATGAGGGAGATCATGACAAGTGTTGGAGTGACTTTGTTAAAAATTGTCATTGTTGTGCTTCGAATTGTGAACCTTGTTTAAACTGCATGATTGAAGATATTCTTGTTTCTGTTCTCCTCCCTGCATGTAGGATGGTGGGGGAGGCTACAGCTATAGTGTTCAACTGCAGGCACATTCCAGGTAAAGAGTCTGGTTTCCTTATTTGCTCGGGAACGTCCACTTCCTGCCCTTCATGGGCTCATCTATGTTTGTATATGGGGGAGCATTAAGGGGGTTAAGCCATATACAGGGTGGGGGGAGATGACCCTTTTATGAATAGGGATGTTGTTAAACGGTTGTAAACAGATGTTGTGTAGCAGGAAGTCACGTATACAGACACACACACACACATACAAACACATTCACAGTGTGTGTTCTCTGAATAAAAGGCTGCGAGGGGAGTTTGGAGTTGGCTACAGGGAGCTTGTGTCAGTTCTGGGAGGCAATCTCCCCTTGCAAGCAAACCGTACCAGTGGCTCTTGTGTTGTGTTTGCAGTCTCTCGTGGTCTGAATCCAGCAGGGTCGTATGTTCAGACCCAACAACAAGCAACACAAGGGAATGCAGACAATGAATACAAACAATAAGGGAACAGACCACAGGTGGGAACAAAGAGCAGAGTCTAATCGTCAGTTTTACTCACAGAGGGAGGATAGTAGGAGCGTCGTCTCCTCCGGCCTGAGGAAACAGGAGAGTTTGGAGCTGCTGATGCAACATCATTCCAGCTGAAGAGCCTGTGATGAGCCGGCCCGTAAAATCTCCGGCGAGCAAAACGGCATCATCCAGGTGGAGTCGGCAGCTGGTGATAGGTTGTTGCTCCACGTGAGAAGGAAATCTGCACTTTTTTCTTCTTGGTGAAGGAAAAAGGGAAACCGGATAAATGAGCCTCTGATGGCCGCAGAAAGGAAACTCTTTGAGGATCGAGGTGGAAGAGCTTATGAGGAGGCAGGACAATGAGCGGGCAGCGGAGAGGCTGATCAACAACCGTGAGCAACCAGAGATGGGTGGATGATGCCCACTTTCAGCTGCAGAGCATCAGGTGCAGGCGGGGCAGCAGGTGGACGAACACGACGTCTTTGAGGACCCCTTAGAGCCCGGTGAGTACCACTGAAAATGTGCTCCTACCAGGGGTGAGCCAACGCTTCCACTTCAGCTTTTCCTCAAGAAAGGAAACGGCTACTTGCTGCCACTTGTAGGTCGGAGTCTGCTGCTTTATTTTAGTGCTCGAGATCTCCTGTCATGTACCGCTGTGTGAGGCAAGGCAGGATAGCAGATAAAATGTGGGAGTCGGAGAGAGAAACCAAACTTAAAGACAATTTATTACTGACTACAAAACACCATAACTAGACCAAGAAATACTAAACAGACGAACACACAGCTGGAGGGAATGAAGGAGGCTGTGAGAAGAAACACAAGGGAACAGATCACAGGTGGGAACAAAGCTGAACATAATCAAACTAACGAGACCAGGAAGCAAAACTAAACAAGATGCACACAGGACGAGAGACTGTCAGAGTAAAACAGGAAACAGCAGAAACACACACTGAGACACAGACTGACTGAACACAGGGAACAGAGGGAGTGAGAGAAACAGAGACACGACTGGGGAACAGGCCAATCAGCATGGAGACAAGACTGACTTCACAGAGAGATACTAACACAGGAAGAGGGCGGGGACACAGAGGGGGGATGATAAAAGAAAACCTGAGGCTAGATAACAAACTAAGACCTGGGACACAAACAGAGACACAACAATCATGACCAAAACTTCACCTCAGAACATGAAATGAACCAGAATCAGACGTCAAACACAAACGCTGGCTCACAGACCAGGACCATGAGCCTCCACCCAAAACTGTTAGGATGCCTGGGTCGTTGACCCAGGGTTTTTTGAGTTTATTATATTATTTATAACTTCTAGTCTTTGGGTTTTTGTTAGAGTCATGTCTTATGGTTTGTCTCTGTGTAATCCTTAGTTGCTGTCTCCCCTGTCCGCTATATCCCCGTGTCCAGTCAGTGTCTCTGTCTGCCCTGGTCCCACGTCTCTGTTCCCTCTGTTGTAGTGCAGACTCACAGGCAGTGTGAGTCTGTGTCTTTGTTCAGTCTGTGTTATGTGTTTCCTGTTTTACTTTGAAGGTCTCTGTCTTATCTCAGTGTTGTCTCCTCTCATCAGTTCTGATTTGCCCCAGCTGTGTCTCCCTCCTGTTGTCCATTCCCTGATTGCTCCCTCGATGTATTTAAGCTCTGTGTTGCAGTTTGTCATTGTCGTGATCTACCGTTTATTTTGCTGTGTGTTTTGTCTGCCTGTGTAAGTTATTTAGATTCTTACGTTTGTTCTGTTTGAGTTCAGCATCAAAGCTGTTTCAGTTTACGTTTGTCTCTGGAGTCTGCACCTTGGGTCCTTTTCTTGCCTGCACACAGCCGTCACATAACAAAAACAGGAACTCTCTTTCTGAGAAGTGATGGTGCTCACCACTGCAGCACCACGCTGCCCTGTTAGTTTCTGTGCTGGTAAAAATAAATAGTTCACTCTGACATATTTCCTGTGTCACAAACACTTCTTCTCTCTGCTGCTTCGATGTACTTACAGTTTGTAGAAGGCAGCGTCTAACAAAGCCGTGTTATTATAAATATACTGCAGCTGCTGAGTTAAAGCTTATTATCTCTGTCATAGAAAATATTAAAAACAAAACTTCTTTCAGTGTTTTACATTCTTGTAACTGAACTTCAGATCTTGTTGAATGTTGTTTTCATTTGTACATAACTGACAGTCTGACGCCTCCTGACGTGTCAGAAGAACTGTGACTCGTCCTGTTTTACTTCCTCTTTGTTTTCTCGTCAAAACTGTCGGACTTAAAGACACAGACAGACGGTGAAGCTGCTCAAAGATCTTTCAGCTCAAAATGTCTACAGAAATTCAAAGTGTTGAAGATTTCAGGGTGAAATACAGCAGAGGGTCCCAGGAGGATGAAGGAGTGAGAGAGCAGAGTGAGGTGGAGGTGTTAGATGATGGAGAGCAGCACCCTGACGTTGGCCTACAAGAAGCTGGTAAGCAGGAAATCATCAAAGTGACCAAACCAAAGAAAATGTTGGTGATGAAAGTGTTGTTCAGTGTCTTTTAAAGCTCTGATATCCGACCACTTTAAGACATATTAGTGTTCGTGTCACATGTCCCCAGAATATGTTTCCAGTCCAAACTGGCACACAGATCATTTGTTGCACTGGGCCTGTTTACTCCCAGTTAGGAGCTCCGTTTCTAACCGTCTGACTGTTTCAGTGTCTGTGGCTTCAAGTCCAACTGGTTCAGCTGCTGCTCTGCTTTCAGGAAGAGGTCTGTGAGTGACAGAGAGAAGCAGCCAATAGGAGCAGCACAGCTCTTTCTGCTTCCTCTCCAAGTGATAACATGACTGTAAATACAGCCAGATTGTCCACACAGTCATTGTTTTAAACATATGTGAATGTCGAGTTTGTCCGACAGTGTTGTGCTTCCAAAAATGCGTCTTTCAGAGGTGCAGAGCAGCAGCTTGGTATGCAGCTGCAGTGTGCTAGCAGCTTCCCCCTGCAGTTAATGCAGCACGTTTAAATCAGTAGGTCATAGTTGTTCTGTGGTCTGACAACAGGAACAGAAAGATGCAGATTCATTGTGAGTTCAGCTGCATCAAAATGCAGTATGAGTGAGTGTAGAGAGGAGAGAAGCAAACTGATGGAAACAGCTAGCAGAAAGCTAACTGAGTGTAACTGAAGCACAAACACAGAGTAACACACACCCAGCACCACTCTGTTATAAATCAGCTTTAAAGTTTCCACAGTTCATGGTTGTTCCTCAGCATTACACTTTCCTCACAGCTCTGACCCGCGTGCAGATGATCATCATAGAAACGAATATTCTGGGACTCTCCTCCATATTTGTCCCTCAGGTTTCTACACTTCTTTCTACGTTCCCTCACGTCCATCAGGATAGTTTTGCTCATTTAGTCCTTATATTGAGAGGAGGATTGTTTTTCTCTCACTGATCTATTCAAAAGCTGCGACAAAGAAGTGGCCAGAAATGCATCGACCGATCACAACAGCTGGAATGGACTAATGTTACTTTGTCCTTGTTTGAGTTCCTGTAACTTTTTAACAAACTCGACTAATTTGTTTGGTAAATCTGATTTACTTTCTACTGGGATCATTCCTACAGTGAGGATTAATAAAAAGCTCCAAAGTCTCTCATTAGTGCTTCATAAATGGACTTTTTGTTTTATCTTTGTAGATGTTCACACCGAGAAGAAGCTTCCAGCTGTGAGAAGAAGCTGGTTCAGAGCTTTTGAAGTGAACCTGGGAGTGCTGTATCTGCTGATTGTGGTGGGAATCATGACACGCTGTGAGGAATTTGATTCCAATATGTTAGATGTTTGATTTTGAACATTAGAAGTGAAATGATTTGATGCTGCAGACCTGATTGTGTTTAGTTCCTGTTCCCACACTGCTGTGTTTCTCCTACTTCACTGGAAAACACACAAACAGCAAACGTGTTACTATAATGTCATGTACTTCCTTCAAGGAAGGTACATGAAGCCAACACAGAAGCAGCAAAAACTGCAGTTCCTTTAATGACCACTGGAGGCTGATGCTGAAAGCGAGTCAGTCCCCACAGACTCCCATGTTAAAATGAGCACCTTTGCTGCAGTAAAAACATGTTTCCATTCAGGACCAAATGAGTTTTGGTCTCTAAGGATAGTTTCCTCTTCATAAAAACTGCACGGTGGCATTTTTATCATTTAAGGAATATTTCAAAAGTCAGACTAATGGGGTCAAAGGCTGAACTTAAGATGATTATTCATACTTTTATCATTTTTTTGTAATGCCCTTTTTACTTGTTTTAACAAATCAGCTTTAAATCGTCTTCAGACTGTGCAGAATGTGGCAGCACGACTCTTTACAGGCACCAAGAGAAGATCCCATATTATTCTAGTTTTGGCCTCCCTTCACTGGTTGCCTGTAAGTTTTAGGTTTCATTTTACCTTTAGGTTCAGGCTCCCCAGTACATATGTGACCTGCTGAAACGAGCTCTACGGTCATCAGGTCAGAGACAGTTGGTGGCCCCAAGCACTTGATTTAAAACTAGTGGTGATCGGGCCTTTCAGGCAGCGGCACCAATGTTGTGGAATTCTCTCCCACTGGTTTTATAGAATAGAATAAAATAGAATAGAATAGAATTCCACTTTATTGTCATTGCACATGTCACAGGTACAAGGCAACGAAATGCAGTATGCTGTACAGACTCCACTGATTCTTTTAAAAAGCAGTTGAAGCAGCATCTGCTGCAGACTGATGCAGGTGCAGCCACACTATGTTAGACAGTGGCCGTCTGTCATTGTGCGACTAGTTAGTTCACTTGGTGTATTAAACAGCTAGCTAACAAGTTCATGTTAGTTCCATTCATCTAAAGTGAGAATAAAAAAGTCCATCTGGGAAAGTGCAATGATTTTAAATTAATTTCCTGTTTTGTTGCATTTCTAACCAGATATTTTAGTGAGTTTGGAAAAAGAGCAGCTGCAGAAAGAAGTGAAGCTGAAGGACAAGATGGGAGGTAAGAAACTATTAAGAAGTATTAAAGTTGGAGATGACTGTATTTGAGAGTGGGCTAATTTTATGTTTTAAATCAGGTTCTTGTGTAAAGATAATCTGATAAAAAGAAACAAAACAAGTTACAGCTGCTGACCTCCCAAACTAACATAAACAGGAGAAAACTGTTCAAAGTCAAAGGCAGCTCAGCCCTACAAACTATCAGGTTATGTTGTCCACGGTGTCGTGGAAGCTTCAGGACCCAAATGCAGAACATGGTGGACAAATGTTAAACATAAAGTGTGTTTATTCCAGGAAAATACAGGTGGTGGAGAAACAGGAAACATTAAAGTCCATAAGAAAGAAAAACAGGCAAAAACATTAGGAACAGCACAGCTCGTGAGACGACTGGACAAAGGGTGAGGGAAACAATGGGAATGAATACATGAGGTAATGTGGGACGACGAAACAGGAGGGGAACACAGCTGAACCTAATCACAGGAAAACAGAAGGAAAGTAAACTAAATGCCAAACACAGCAGACACAGGTTAAACAAAGGTTAAACAGGAAGTAATCAAACAAAGGAAACATCACTGACTGTAGGGCCAAACATCGCTAATCGAAGATCAAGATGATGAGTGACAGGTGCTCTGACCTGTGCAAAGTGTCCATTAATCTTTTGCTTGAAATTAAAAATTTAACCTTTATTGTTCTAATTTCAACAACATCGATCCAACATTTGCCTCAAGCTCAAGTTTCCATATTCCAATTTCTGAAGATGACACCAAAAGGATCTCACACGACCTGATTCACACTGATACACGGTCGAAACACTGTTTGCCTCTGTCCCATCTCATCACACCTGAGCACCACTGAACCTGGATTAAAAGGTTATGGCGACAGTGGCAAGTAGGGTTACTACTCCCTCTTGTGCTGAGAAATTGCAATAGCACCAAAAACATAAAATGGCTCCAACACTGACAGAAACTTTACACAAAAGGGCAGAACACTGAAAATATAACATGCAAAAGTAGCATATGAATATAAACCCAAAGAGTTAAAGTTACATAAAAATAATAGAAAGGCCAAAAAAAAATCTAAATCACATATAACAGACCCAGGACCATAACACAACCTGCTTCAAACTCATCAGGAAACACAGAGTGAGAGCTGCACAGGTGTGGCAGGTTGGAACAAGGAAAAGCTGAATGAGTCCTCTGCAGACGGCGGCCATCTTGGCTCTTTATGTAATCATAAAGCAGCATGTTGGTGCACCAATCACAGCAGAGTACCTGCACATGCCCGTTATCATCCTCTCATTCAGTCACAGCTGAGGCGCAGCATGCAGAGCTTTGCATGAAGGACAGAAAAACACAGCAGTTACACAAAATGACACAAATATGATGACAGTCATAACAACAGGTCAAAGTTCAGTCTGTTACTGTATCATAGACACTGATGCTGTGTGTGCTATATGAGATGCTGCAGGCAGTCAGTGTGAGTCTTCAGCAGTCTGAGCTACAAAGATGGGATCTTGGCTGCAAATGAATGTATGACTGATACTGAATCCCAGCAGCCAACAAACATGCAGCTTCACAACCAGAACGTGTCCTTCTGCCACAGCAAATACAGGAAGTACCTGATCACATGGAAACACCTTTGATATGAGGAAGTGTTGAAGCCTCAGAGCAGCTTTGACTGAATGTAAAAAGACATATTTTCAGTGAGAACAGGCACATGTCACATGAGTCAGAATCTATTCTTTCAAAGCATATAGATAACATCTCTGACTACAGGTGTAGAAATGCTGTTTGACTCTTCACCTTCTTCCTCCACACTGAAGCACAATTATTCTGAATCTTGTCAGTGGTTTTTGTTCACAGTTGATACGTATTTAGCTCATCAGATTTCCTGTAGTTCTAACACCTCCACCCACAGGACATGTTAAAGAGCAATGGCTGCAAGTTTCTGACTCTTATTGATATTTGACAAAGCAGAGGAAGAAGATTATTTCTGTTCAACGTTTCACTCATTTTATTTTATTTTATTTTATTTTGGTTTCACTGAAATATTTCAGATGCTTTGAACAAGAGTGAAAACAACAAACTTCACTTCAAACACAATAAACTGAACCACAGTTACAACGAGCTACAGACTGAACATCAAGGTAAGAAAGTATTTAAAATTAACAAGAAAATACTAATGTCAGATAAAATTTATATTTACATTTTTTAACATGTTTTTTTCTATAGAGACAAAACGACTCAACAGTCAGTTACAGGAAGAAGTGAAGAAGCTGAAGGAGAAGATAGAAGGTAATAAAGTTTGAATAACTGATAGAAAACATCAGTGTTACACAGTGATAACCTGATTGTGTCTTTGTTTTGAATCCTACATGTTTGATGCTGTGTAACAGTTTCTCTGTATAAATGTAAGTTTCAGTTCATTATGAATAAGAGAGAAAACCTGAGTTTAAATGAAGCATTTACAGGGAAAATGACAGGAACCAAAGATTAATGTGATACAACAGGACACAAAGTCTGACTTTAAAACATGTGTTTGACTTTAAGAGAAGTGTCCAGAAGGATGGATGAGATTTGGAAGCAGCTGTTACTTTAAATCCACTGAGAAGAAAACTTGGCCTGAGAGTCAAAACCACTGTAAGACCAAAGGAGCTGATCTGGTGATGATAAACAGCAAAGAGGAACAGGTAGGTGTGTTTGTTCATGTCTGTGTGATCTTTTTTTTTTTTTTTTTTTTTTTAAACGTATGTTTATTTGTTTTTTCAACAGTATCAACACCAACATAAAATGAACGTATGGCAGTCATTAAAATAATAATAATAATAATAACAACACTAATAATAATAATAGTAATAACGATAATTGAAGTGTTAATCCTAAAGGGTTCCAAATAAATGCATAGTTAAATAAATTAAATTAAACCATACAAATAAATACAATAAAAAAATTTAAAAAAATTAAAAATTAAAAAAATTAAAATTAAAAATTAAAAAATAAATCATAATATAGGCTACATAGTATATTCCCAACAGCAAGTCAGACATTATTCATTATCTAGTTGTCTTATTCACTCACCGCCCCCCCCACATCCCCACTCCTCAGTAGATCCAAAAATATCTTCCAGATGTTGTAAAATTCAGAAGCCTTCTTTCTAACAATATAGGTCAGTTTCTCAAGAGCTAAACTCGATGTTAATTTATTTAACCAGTGGTTAAAAGAGGGGCAACCAACATTCTTCCAGCATAAGGCGATACAGCGTCTGGCCTGTAGCAAACAAAGATCGACCATTCTTCTTTCCTCACAAGACAGAGTACAGTCATCTGGATACAAGCCTAAAATGCATAACTTAGGGCAAAGCGGTACAGGAGAAGTTGTGATCTGAGAGATATATTTTAACACAGAGCTCCAAAATTTTTGGATCTCTTCACATTTCCACAGGCAGTGATATAGTGTACCCTGATGCCTATTACACTTTAGGGCTGCCACAAACAATTATTTTGATAGTCGACTAGTCACCGATTATTTATGCGATTAGTCGACTAATCAGATCATCATCCACTGGACGTAAAACTACAGCTTATTGCACCAGCAGCATCTGCTCTTATATAACTATCATTAGCTTAAAGCTTTAAGCTTTTAAGGTGCTAACTAAAAATAAAGACAAGATGATAGTTTGTTAAATTTTAATGAAATTTGCAGATTGTTTCGGTGAAGTTTAATAAACTCCTTGCTATCTAAAATATAACAGGACAACGGAGTATATTCTCCAGCATCTCACACTTCTGATAATCAGCTGTCTGCTTGACGTTTATTCAGCTGTGTAAAAACTATAACTTTAATCTTAGCCAAACCGATTTACTCAGGAACAAATAAAATACACAAAAAAAAAAAGCCAAACAATAACATTTTTAATTTATCTAAGTGACTGATATATCATGTTTAACCTGAGTAGCGAAAGACGGCGGTGGGTTTGAAAACAATTTGCCGGGAGTCCGGTGTTCTCACCGCACTAGTGACCTAGCCCCCGGCTAGCTATCGAGTTGGTGGGTAACAGACGTCTCCGAAAACGTCGGAGCGCTTTTGAAAATATGTGGTGTCCTGATAAACTGAGCCGATATTTGAGGTTTACACAGCTACATTCTCGCCTGAAAATATGTTAAACGTTTATTTTGTGACCCAGAAAGAATAATAAGAGTAATATTAAAACTAACTAGCTGCCGCCATTGTTGGAAACTGAGCTGGGCCGCGCTATGAATTCTGGGACACAGCTGCTTCTTCTTCTTCTTCTTCGGGGTTTAACGGCAGCTGGCATCCTTGTACATGCAGTGCTGCCATCTTCTGTTTCAGTCCGTTATTACACTCTTAAATCCTGCTACTTATTCCTGCGTCTTTTGGGATCTTACAAAGCTTCAAACGACGCGTCGACTATTAAATCAGTCGTCGACGATTTTGATAGTCGACATAATCGTGACTAGTCGACAAATCGTGGCAGCCCTAGTACACTTATAGCATAGATCAATTATATTAGGATCAAATTTATTTAATTGTACAGGGGATATGTATGTTCGCATTATCCAATTAAATTGTATCATTCTCAAACGGGTGTTAATGGTCTGAGTGTGTGTTTTTGAACATATTTTACCCCATTCAGTATATGAAATATCTTCTTGTAAGTCACTAATCCACTCCCGTCTTTTACTATCAGAGTTATCCTTATGGTGTTCAACTAACAGGCTATAAAACTGGGACACCAGTCTTTTACCAAAACAGTTTTTTGTAACATGAGTTTCTAGGATGGAGAGTGAGGGTTGGTGCACTGAATTGTTTAAGTGTGCCAGAATAAAACTTCTAAGTTGCAGATACTTAAAAAAGTGTTTCTGCGGTAAATCAAACTTTGCCCTTAATTCACTGAATGACATTAGAGAATATTCCTCATATACGTCCTGTAGTTTCGCAATGCCCTTGTTCAGCCAAGCTTTAAAGCCCATGTCATTCTTAGCCG